AAGTGACAGGCTCGTGCTATTTTCACCCCTTATTGGCTCTTGATACTCCCTATCACGTTGAATTGATTACATTATCTTTTGTGGGTCCCATTCTTGATTTAAGATGATTTCCTACCTTCTTTTCTTCTTTTTCTTTTGTTTTAATTTTGCTAGAGATGAAACTATCCACGCTTCTCTCAAATAATATTTATTAAAGTATGTGGGGCCCACTTTTTAAGATTATTTCTTGACTTCTTTTCTTCTTTTTTGTTTTTTTCCTTTTCTTTCTCCATTTAAAACAAAATTGGTGTCCCTCTTTTCCAAAAAAATACTTTATTTGGTAGATAGCTAACTAATTATTATGTTAATAAGTTGTATATTCTCTTTTGTACTAGGAAACTATTATTTAAAAAATAACATAGGCACAAGTAAGAGTAAAAAGAACCATCTACTAGTTTTAATACGCACTTCATTTAATTATAATTTTTATATGTGTCATTACATTGTAGTCTGTGTATTTTAACTTCGTTACTTTCATTTTATTAAGTGAATCTAATAGTCCAATTTTTTTATTATTTTTCATGCCATCACTGCGTGATGTTAAAAATATGACAAAGCTAAGTACATAAAAAATTCTTAACATCCATTGTTATCATGCAAATACAAAATAAAATGCTCCCTAAAACATTATTACATATAATACTATCTTTGCCTTGATTACGTGGTATAATTAGCTATTGACATGAAATTATGGCAATTGTAATGACATTATAAGACAACCCAATCAAACCACTTGCAAACCCATTTTTTTTGTCAATTCTAAATGCATAGGAGTTTTCATAGAATCATCAATGAAAAAAAGATTATCCAGAAAATGCAGATTTGCTGCAATAATAACAAGTTGCATATGCAACTTAACAAAAGATATTATCTGTTTAGCGACTTGGCTCCCCTAAAAATGTTACTCTTTCAAAAAAATATTTTGCATGAATCGGACAAAAAAAGTTTTAATTACATCATTATTCACTTTAACCAATACATATCAAGGAATAATTTTCAATGTTATAGTGCAAGAAGCTCCAAATGATCTTGTCAACATGATCAATTGTTGTTCTCCATTCGCAATTTCATCATCAATAGATACATTTAAGCAATTTAGGTGCCTCCATAGTGACTAATCTACAAAAAGCAATACAATGAAAGATGAGTAAATTGTATATAATGCATTCATCAACTACAATATTCAATCTTTGAGTAAATTGTCTTATATTTGTACGAAAAATTGAAGTCGGAAAATTCACGATCATGATGATTATGTGGGGAAATAAAGTTAATTATTGGTGGAATAAGTTTAGAAGAAGACAAACATGAAGAAAATGTTAAATTGTAATGGGTATGGGAGACGCGGCTAGGGGCAAAAATGTTGTTTGAAATGGATGATGGTAGTTTTGTCTTTTAATAAAATTGAAACAAATTAAAATGAAGAAGAAAGGTAAGAAATAATCTTAAATTGAGAGTGAGACCCGCAAGAGATAATATAGTTAATTCAATATGAAAAGTGGGTGTCAAGAGCCTATAATGGAGTGGAAATAGCGCGAGGCAAGTGAAAATGTCTCTTTGGTTCGGGCCATATGCAGTTCCGATCGTAGCTAACACACTTCCTTAATGTCTCGAGTCGGATCAGGTATTATGGAAACCTGCCGAATCGTTGACGCCCTTACAATCAACAAGCCCATAGTGAGTAGTGACATATGGCGTTGCCTTATAGTATAATACTTCCCATTTCCATCGTTTGGGTTAACCTTCGGAAAAATAGCTTTCAACCGAAAAAAGTTACCTTCCAAAAAGGCTTTTTACAGTAAAGAAAAAGAAAGTTCCTATTGAAAGATTGGAGGTTTGACGACATGGATTTCATCGGACAAACACATCGTGCAAGATTAATTCCTAGAGAACATGCGATGCGGTCTTAAGAAAAAATGTCTGCCGCTATTCGTCACGATAGATGAGCTCTTTCTTTTTCTGTCTTTCGGAATCTTTTATGTTAAAACTTTTATCACACTTCTCGTGGACCGGACACACTTCATTATTAAAAGCATGCAACTTATCTACCAAGATGGGGATGTAGCTCAGATGGTAGAGCGCTCGCTTAGCATGCGAGAGGTACGGGGATCGATACCCCGCATCTCCATTTATTAAGCTTACTTGTTTTTTGATCCTCTCTTCCTGTGTTTTTTTGGTTTCTCTCGTTTTTTTGGGTGGATGACCAGTTACGAATTTAGTTATATTCGTATGATAGGCATCCTTCATCGCCCCACTAGTGGCTCAGCTTATTCTCGCTCCCTATGCCCAACCTATCATATCACCTCGCCTTCGTCCTAGAAGTTACTGCTTGGGCCTCTATCGTCTGGGCTTTCTGTTTGTGGCGTGTGGTCAGCTTTCTACAAGCTTCGTCGGAAGCAATTACTCATTATGTATTGCTTTGTTTTTTTTTTGGGTATCAAGACTCATTTTGAACTTAAATATCTATTTAACTCACTACCCGCATAAAGAGAAAACAAAAAGAACGCAACATACACAAATGATCCGAAGAGATCGACATGTCCTGTTTAAACTTTTACTAATGAAACGAAAAATAGATTTACTACATTCAAGTGCTCAGAGGCCACAAATGCTGATATCGTAATACGGGGATCGATACCCCGTGTCTCCATTTATTAAGCTTATTTGCTTTTTGGTTCTCTCTTCTTGTGTTTTTTTGGGTGGATGACCAGTTACGAATTTAGTTATATTCGTATGATAGGCATCCTTCATCGCCCCACTAGTGGCTCAGCTTATTCTCGCTCCCTTCGCCCCACCTACAATATCACCTCGCCTTCGTCCTAGAAGTTACTGCTTGGGCCTCTATCGTCTGGGCTTTTTGTTTGTGGCGTGTGGTCAGCTTTCTACAAGCTTCGTCGGAAGCAATTACTCATTATGTATTGCTTTGTTTTTTTTGGGTATCAAGACTCATTTTGAACTTCAATATCTATTTAACTCACCACCCGCATAAAGAGAAAACAAAAGAACGCAACATACACAAATGATACGAAGAGATCGACATGTCCGGTTTAAACTTTTACTAATGAAACGAAAAATAGATTTACTACATTTAAGTGCTCAGAGGCCACAAATGCTGATATCGTAATACGGGGATCGATACCCCGCATCTCCATTTATTAAGCTTATTTGTTTTTTGGTTCTTTTTTTTGGTTCTCTCTTCCTGTGTTATTTTGGTTGGATGATCAGTTACAAATTTAGTTATATTCGTATGATAGGCATCCTTCATCGCCCCACTAGTGGCTCAGCTTATTCTCGCTTCCTTCGCCCCACCTATCATATCACCTCGCCTTCGTCCTAGAAGTTACTGCTTGGGCCTCTATTGTTTGGGCTTTTTGTTTGTGGCGTCTGGTCAGCTTTCTACAAGCTTCGTCGGAATCAATTACTCATTATGTATTGCTTTGTTTTTTTTTGGGTATCAAGACTCATTTTGAACTTAAATATCTATTTAACTCACCACCCGCATAAAGAGAAAACAAAAGAACGCAACATACACAAATGATCCGAAGAGATCGACATGTCCGGTTTAAACTTTTACTAATGAAACGAAAAATAGATTTACTACATTCAAGTGCTCAGAGGCCACAAATGCTGATATCGTAATACGAGGATCGATACCCCGCATCTCCATTTATTAAGCTTATTTGTTTTTTGGTTCTATTTTTTGGTTCTCTCTTCTTGTGTTTTTTTGGGTGGATGACCAGTTACGAATTTAGTTATATGCGTATGATAGGCATCCTTCATCGCCCCACTAGTGGCTCAGCTTATTCTCGCTCCCTTCGCCCCACCTATCATATCACCTCACCTTCGTCCTAGAAGTTACTGCTTGGGCCTCTATCGTCTGGGCTTTTTGTTTGTGGCGTGTGGTCAGCTTTCTACAAGCTTCGTCGGAAGCAATTACTCATTATGTATTGCTTTGTTTTTTTTTTTTTGGTATCAAGACTCATTTTGAACTTAAATATCTATTTAACTTACCACCCGCATAAAGAGAAAACAAAAGAACACAACATACACAAATGATCCGAAGAGATCGACATGTCCGGTTTAAACTTTTACTAATGAAATGAAAAATAGATTTACTACATTCAAGTGCTCAGAGGCCACAAATGCTGATATCGTAATACGGGGATTGATACCCTGCATCTCCATTTATTAAGCTTATTTGTTTTTTGGTTCTCTCTTCCTGTGTTTTTTTGGGTGGATGACCAGTTACGAATTTAGTTATATTCGTATGATAGGCATCCTTCATCGCCCCACTAGTGGCTCAGCTTATTCTCGCTCCCTATGCCCCACCTATCATATCACCTCGCCTTCGTCCTAGAAGTTACTGCTTGGGCCTCTATCGTCTGGGCTTTCTGTTTGTGGCGTGTGGTCAGCTTTCTACAAGCTTCGTCGGAAGGAATTACTCATTATGTATTGCTTTGTTTTTTTTTGGGTATCAAGACTCATTTTGAACTTAAATATCTATTTAACTCACTACCCGCATAAAGAGAAAACAAAAGAACGCAACATACACAAATGATCCGAAGAGATCGACATGTCCGGTTTAAACTTTTATTAATGAAACGAAAAATAGATTTACTACATTCAAGTGCTCAGAGGCCACAAATGCTGATATCGTAATATTAGCCATCCAAACTACGCTATTTCAATTCCATGCGAAAGAAAAAGTCGCTGAGGATAAAATTTGCATAGAGAGGTGGCCTCTTGTAACAATCAATCTCGAATTTGTTAGCGCCGGGGGATTATTCTGCGATTGTGGTGCATCAATGCGCCAAAAATGCATCTGGACCACCAAACATAGCGAGTCTCGCCTATAAACGTAGTGCGTCTCGCGGGGTTCGACGTTACAGATATGTTTTAGAAAATGTACGGCGCTCACCACTCTCTCTATTAGCCCGCAAAGAAGTAAGAATATAAACATGTTTGCGTAATTGTAAGCTAACAAGGGCAATTAAGGATCTTGTGAGAACAAGTACACACGGCAGTCTTTAAGGAAACCATATCAGCTCGCACACAAGTTTTAAAAGGTACAGAAGTAGTCAAGACCCACGAGTCTTAATACCTATAGCGCATAATATCACCACTCTTTTTTTCTCTTCTACCTATTTTTCTTTCTTTTTTTTTTTCCCCACCTTTCTTAGGCTTCTTTATTTACAGTTATTGTTATAAATATTTGGCACGTACTTAGCATCTTCTTTATGGCTAATTAAGGGACTTCCTGATCTGAGAGTGACCCTTTGCTTTCAGTGGAGCCTCATATTCCTCGTGAGCCTGTTAGGAGGGGTCAAACCATTAGAAGAACGAGAATCAAATCATGCCTTTTCATAACAAATTGTGGATCGTCATGCTATAATATATAAATCATTCAAGGGTAGCATCTAGTCGCATCTGATATAGTTATTAGATCCAGTTGCATCTTTGTCAATTGGTGATGTCATGTGTCATCTTGATAATATGATAAATTCATGGAATTGATTCACTGCCTCTAAAAATTTTATTTATTAAAAAAAAAAACTTCAGAGGGAGTTTACTATGTCAACAAGGTGAAGAATAGTGATTATTGGATAATACTCATCGCTTTGGCGCGTGATGTCATCGATACATAAAATACTTTCTCGATCATTGCTTTCTTAATCGAGCCCCGCCATATTTTCTTACGATCCAAATCAATTCATGAACTTTGCCATGGGAGAATTTAGAGGCCCCCAAACCTTCCAAAGTCGCTTATTGACCCAATTTAACAAGAGAATTTTACAAAAAATTCGTAAGCCTTGGCCCCCCTAAAGATTGTAAATTTCTTCAAAATCCCAAGATTTTGACAAGCTATTTTAAAGAAATTTCACGTAAAAAAAACAGGATACTAAGAAATATATTTGAAGTAAAGTTGAGAACTTATTTCCAAATCGAGAAATATCGTACTTTATACACGGAAAGATGTACACTACTATTGGGTTCCTTACTACTTTGCCAATATTCTTTCAGCCGTCAATGTACTTTGTTAGTTTTAATATTCTTATATATTTGCACCTCTATTGACCCCTGAGGAGACACTAGAGAAAGGTCGTCTACTGTGTTCATAGTCCTAACACAATTAAACATCCTTAAAAAAAAAATATTAGGTTGCTTACACATACCATCGAGCCAAAAACTCATTGTTTTCGTCCTTGTATAAATAAGCATTTTTCTAACATGTTTGGACAAACTTTTTAATTAAGTACATGATAGATGGTTGAAATTAAGACGAATTATTTTCATTGCAAAATAATTAAGATGAAATTATACTTTAAACAAAGGAATTTTTAGACAAATGAATTGCTGATCATTATAAAGTAAGATGTAATTTATGCTCAACCTTTTTATTTTAGAAAATATTAGGTTATGTTAGATTCCCTTGCAACACGCTCAACACGCTTTATTTTAGAAACTATTAGGCTATGCTCAACCATCATGTTAACATAAAATCCTTGGCCATGCACATGAGAGACGACTATATTGAATGATCACTTTGCTTCTTTGGGAAATGGTCGGTAGAAGTCCGGTTGGACTCTGTCAACTTGCGATAGAAAGCTAGGGTTAGTGGAACTTTCGCTTTACGAAGGCAAGGGCATGGTTCGAGTCTTGTACCTTAAGGTGCATGGAAAAGAGAAAATCGTTCACCCAATCAAAACTTGTATAAATGTAGACACTTAATCAAGTAACTTTTAATTGTTGATTATATTTACATGATGATATTTCTTGGATATAAATGTGCAATCCTGAAAATATCTTGACATCTTTGAAGATACACTTTTAGGAATATATTTGGAAGACTTCTTTCAAAAATTTTACACGGATTCGATTTCAACGTCTTTCGATGTTCCTTCTTCAATAAAGTTTTGCAATCACAATGAATAATATTGCGATAAAAAGAAAAAGAAAGATGGGTTTTTTAAGACAAGTTGATACATGATGCTAGAGCTTTCATATATATATGTGTGTGTGTGTGTGTGTGTGGAACAAATTACACAATTAAGGCCTCCTTTTTTAAGGGACTGGTTTTCAACTTCATAATCTCTATGAAAGATCTTAGGCACTGCACTATGATAGCATCGCAGTCGCTCATGCAGATCGGTTTTCTAATGAAATAGAGTGTTAAAGCCGAAGAGATAAGCACAAAAACAAGAATAATACAACGAATATCATGAGTTGTTATTTAAGAGATGGTCGATTATGATCGAATCATATCTCATCTAATAGAATACCTCAACCACATACTGTCACATAATTTCATAAACTAACTTTGTAAACAAGCCATTGCATAAGTAGCATTACTTCAAGCAAAAAAATAAAAATAAAAACTCGCCATGCCTAAATAGATAATAATTCTTACATGAATGACTTTTGTAAGAAAGTGTTAGATTACTACCTATTAGTCTCATCACTTTGGTCGGATCCTCTATAGTTGGGCAGAGGGATTTGGCCAGATTCAATCCTGACGAGATCCCTCACAAGGGCCTCATAATGCCTCCTCACTTCCTCCACACTCTTCCCATCACCGACCGCTCTCGCCACCCTTTGCCACCGATCCGGAGTGTTCTCATCGTACAAAGCCAGTGCCTCCTCAAACTTCTTGTTTTGCTCTCTTGTCCATGATGATGCCATGTCAACTGCTCCCTCAATAACCAAACGAGATGAGAAGGACGCAAGATGTGGAAAACCCCAGAAGAAAAAAAGAACGATCGTGTGATTTGTTGAAGACTCGAGGTCCAGGGTTGGTGGTATGTATTGAGAGATTGCAACGATGTGGCTACTTATAAGCAAGGGAGGATGTGGGATTCTCTCCAAGTTGGCTTTTTTTGGAAATAAAATCGAAATTGATGGATACTGCCAAGAAGATGTGATTCCCTCGATCTAGTAGGACAAGACAGGTAAACAAGAATCCTCATTGCTAAAGGTTGAGAACTTTTCGAGGGATAAATCAATCTATGAAGCCCCTTATTGGCGTGATATTTGTATTAGCAAGTGGGTTTGCTTGAGCATTTTATCGGCTTGGGTGGGGGTATTAGATCCCAATTCAAAGATCATAGATCCATTATTAACAAATTTAGATATGCTGAGGAAACTTACACCTTCCAATGGGTAAATAATTTCGGATTTTTATTAGGTCCACAGCTCGGTGAGTACAGAAAACATTTCAATGAGTGCCCTATTTGATTAGTATGCATACGTTCAAAAGATGCTACTAAGGGTGCCCTCTACTGTCAATGAATGTATTCTACCCATATCCGAATTTTCCTTTCCGTCCTAGACGTATACATGAAGGACACAATCAAGTGGTGCATTCTATAATCTCTCTAGGTAGTAAAGCAAACACAAAAGGAAACTATAATCTCAAACTTTCGACTAAAATTCCCCCAAATCTCTTTATATAATAAAGCAAACACAAAAGGAATCTTCAAGGCATGCTAGCTAAAAATATAATGATTGTGTACAGTAATACAATGGACGAAATAGAAATTAAATGTGAAGATATATACAGGAACATAGCAAAAAAAATAATAAACTTTTTCTATGTCCAATTTGAATTCAAGCAATCTTCTTTGTCCTGCAGTAATCTGAATCTATTTCCTAAAATAACCCAAACATCATATCATACTCTCTCTTTCCTTTATTGCAAATTTCCACGTTTTTAACACGTTAAAGTGTGTGCCATTCTTGCTAGTTACTATAAAGAGGAGAGGGTTCCTACTTTTAACGAGAGTAAACCTTTTATATTCCAATTTTCACCTTAGAAAATTAATATCGTATCAAATTTCCACGACTAAAATATCCGTCTACAACTTTTTCAAACTTTATTTTTTTATTGGACTAATGTACTCTTAAAAGTCATCCAAAATCTCCATGACGATTCTTTAGATGTATGACAATTAAGATCTACCAAATTAGACGATAATCAAAGAGGTTCAACTTGGGGAGAAGAGTTTTTGGTTATGGAAATATTTATCACCATATATAGGTAAATATATATATAGGGAAAAAGCAACAAAAACCTCAAACTATACCCACCGTAATACATTTATTCTAAATGTTTTTTTGGGACATAAAAAGCCCCAAATTATGCCCAGGCACATTTATCCTAAACTTTTTTGTGTAACATAAAAAACCCCAAATTTGTATCTATACGACACATTTACATTTCATCAAGGTTCCATCATATGATTTTTTAGTCAAAATAATGTTGTTTTTATTTCACTTAAGTCACGTGGGCATCATGTCAACATTGTTTGCTTTCCGACATCCATGTAGGCATATGGTGCTCATTGACGGAACAATTACAAAGGGTAAATGTGTCAGACATGTATAAGTTTGAGACTTTTTGTATCACGTAAAAAAGTTTAGGGTAAATGTGTCACAATGAAACATAGTATGGGGGTTTTTTTTAATGACTTTTGCCCCATATATATTAGCATAATCTACTTTGAATTTCACAGTTATTGTTTGAAATTATGTAACTACTAATTGTGTTACAATTATATTCCCTAAATTTCAATGACTACTCAAAATACATTTTGATCAACATCAACTATATCTTATTCATCCTCACAATTAATCAGTTAAAAAAAAACGAAATGAACTATTCTAGCAAAAGATGTGCAGATATTTTACATTTCTACTCTTATTTCTCATAAGTCCCACTCTTTCCTATTTTTGTATTCCGATATTATAAGTTCAAATATAATGTACTATCTTAATTATATAGATTATACTGATTTTGGTTACGCCAGCGTTAACCTCAATAATCTTTTATGTATATCTTATATACACACGCATCGCATGTGCGTGCAAAACAGATACACACACAACTTCTTGAGTTCTTAGTTCTTACGTATGGTGCTTCAAATATTACCCTCTTTTCTCCCAAATGCTTATTCATACGACCAAGTAAAGCTTCTTTGACATATTCATCGGGCTGGCACTCTATCAGTTTACAAGACAGGAACAAGATTTGAACTGAATTGCGAATGAAAATTGAAGAAAAAATAACACAAATGATTTCTTAATTTTTAGATGAATATTTTATTTGGATAATCTATGTATGACATTTTTTTTTGTCCATTGTTCAAACTTAACTGATTGGAAGTCACCTTATGGAAAGATGCTATTGAACATTTTCATATAATTTGGGACTAGATTGAATAGTTACAAATAATTTAAGGACTACATTGAACAAATTAAAAGTCCAAGAACAATATTGCAAGTTAGATTAAAATTATGGGACCATTTGTGCCATTTCCTAAACTTTAAGTGTGACTTGAGACAATACGGTTAATTTGCATGTTGGCACGGATGTCAAAAATAGGAATTGACAATCCTATACGTGCCATCAAGAGTAATTCATTCCCCAAAAATTTTCTTAAGTGGGAATTCCTAATAGCCCATTTATAAAGTACGTGCATTAACTAGTTCTTTGGCTCCGGACCACGAAAATAACTAACTGATTTTTCTTGTTGGGGTCAAATATCCCTGGTTAAAAGAAATTTCTTCCAATCAATCTTCTAATTAATATGTCTTGAATGTGTATACGTATCAATCATATCACCCACATTTTCAGTTAACATATGTGTGATACCCATATTTTTGATCCATCAATCGGTGATCTGATTGGTGGAAAACATAATCCTTAATTAATTCATCTAATTTCTTGAGTTCTTTCACACTTTTCCTCATAAGCATTTTCCACAATGAGATGCTAGACTGGCGTTGCTTTCATCCATTCCTTCACCCCATACTCGATAAGCTAGGAGGTTACATAGCTTTGTTTTGACCATTTCTTGGCTTACTTATATAGACACCCGGTTTGATCTTATCGAGTAAGCGACAAAGTCTTGATATCTCCAGATATTCTTTTTGAGAACACTTAATCACCTTCGGGGGGATCTCAAAGTTTTGAAGATGTATCTTCAAGGAGTTGACTAAATGGTTAAATTATCGGTTTAAATACGGCGGATCTATGCTCAAATCACATTATCCCCACTCAAAGTAACCTTGGGGCCATGCCCGCCACCCTATCTAGGTTAAAACTTTTTTGATAGATATGGATGGGACCGTATCCATTTCAGGGCATTAGTCAAGATAAATGGCTTTTGAGTGCCACGTATAAGAAAAACATTATTCATTTCGGGCCATGTTTGTCTCAAACCCTAATATTGAAGGAAATTTTCTCCAATTAAGCCCCGTAACGCCTCTCTCTCTCTCTCTCTAAACTAAAGCTACCCTCGCCCTTTATCACCGCAACCTGAAGTTCGCCCCGCCACGTCGGAGCTTGAGGGAGCATGATGAAGGCATGGGAAGTTGGTTTGATGGGCGGCTCTACCGAAATTGGTTTGATTGAAGGGTTAGAACCGTAAATATCACTTGCATTTATATTTTGTGAATCTCGCATGTAGGTGAGACCCAATAATCCAAAAGGTGGTCGGAGAAAAATGTAGAACCTTTTTTACCTTAATGGGTTTGTTTTTTGTAAGACAAATACTAATCTAGGTATGATAGTAGTAAAAATTCGACAAATCAGAGCCCCAATTGAAAGAAATTTCATCCGATCTAGATTGGAGGAAAATATAGCACACATGAGTAAGTAAACACATATCATAGCGTACTGATTGTACTCCGGCAACATTTTGTGCGGATCATGTCGCGGATCAGTACTCGAGTATTAGTACGACGTCAGATTTGATCATGATTACAGACATTCCTCTTTTCAGTGCATACCTTTTGAACCCACCAACCACAGTAGGATACACTACCTTTCAGAGTGACCCTGAGATTTTGTCTTTCCTTACGCACCTTTAAGCAACTTGGGATCTACATATTCCCCTATTTTAAGGGGACAGGGCTATTATTCTGCTGCATTATTGCATCGTGTGATGCTGGAGCAACATATGAGGTGAAGGCTGTGGAAGTTCTGCTCTCCTCTTTCCTGGCCTGGTGATCTCATTAGCATCTATCTAATCGCCCATTAACTTGTGCAGTGTCAAATAAACTTCAGATGACATGATTGATCATGCAATTGGACACTATGTAGATATGTACGAACCCCGCAGACTCATTTTTGGATCGATAAGATTCCCCTCTATCTTCCCTCTTTGATTATAAATAGATTTCTAGAATATTAATGTGAGGGTTGTATTTGCTTGCCGGGAATAATCAAGAGAGGGGTTGAACCCTCCATCATTTTGTTTCGTGACTTGAAGAAAAATGAATGTGGTAAACATTAGAAATGGAAGAGACTAGTATTATTCACCAAATCAAAACAAAAAAAAGGAGTAATACAAAGTTTTCATTTTATGTGGAGGAGGTAAGAATGAATTTGATGGAATGGTTTTTTTTTTTGTCAAAGGAGATTTCTATTCATTGCCAAAACGATACATGAAACGATCTATAAGAAACCTCAAAAGTCACCATAACAAGGCAAGCCTGTAAAACTCCAAAACAAACCAAAAATCAGAAATTAAGGTACATCATCAAAGCATGGTTGACAAAGATAATCACACACTTGTCTTTCAAGAACATATTTACGACTGTATTCAAGCGAAATGATCGGCGGCTGATCACTGAATCACATATCTTCATCAGTGATGAGCACACGCCGGGATCTTCATCAGTAGTTACAGTTTTTCCTTTCTACGGTGTGCGCCAAGGTTCGGCGTTCCCACCAACATCACCATACGGAAACAAAATAAACATGTTGAACAAGCTCAGATCTGACACC